TTTGCTTCTCCGCGCGGGGTTTGTTTTGGGTGTTTTTTTCCGGTCCCCGAGCGGCTTTATAGGGTGCCGCCACCGCCATCGAGGAGGGGCCCCGCGGCCCTGCCAGGGCTATTTCCAGCGCATCCGCCGGGGCCGGGAGCCGCCAGCGCAGGCAGCAATTGTGGTTTGGGGTGAACTCGGTTCCCCCGTGACCGGCCAGCGCCCGCAGGGAGGGAAACGCAGCCCCGGGCCAGCGGAGATTTGCTGGTGGGCCCAACCCTGCCAGCCTGGCAGCACCCAGATCCCCAGCCCCTCACTGGGATGGGAGATGGGGCACTGGTGGGGCTCCTCACTGCGCTCCCCAGCGCCTGACTGGTCTGTCCCAGTTCCCACCGCTGGATCCCAGCGGGGTTGCTGGTGTGCTAGCAGAGTTCCCTGCCAAAACCCGCGGGGTTTTCCTCTCCGCACGGGGCCTCGTTGGCCAATTTTTGCCTCGGGGACCAGCGCGCGCTCCTTCCCCGGCATCGTCACCACAGCCCCTTGCCGCGACCGGGAGGAGCGGGCGAGCGGAGGCAGCTCTCCCCTGCCACATCCCGCGGGCAGACGCCGCGCCTGTTCCCAGAAACAGGAGCTCAGAGAGAGGCCCAGCACCTCTTCAAACCCCAAAACGGGGCTTGGCAAGAGCGAAAAATTGTGCTGCTGGTGTGGTTCAGGCACCGAGCAGAGGCGGAGGGGAGCGGAGCTGCGAAGCACAGTCTCCCGTTCATCCCTCCTTTCCCGTCCTCCTCTCCCCAGGGCCCCAGCGGCGCTCGGGCTGCTCACCCACCTCCCGAGTTTGCTCCGAGCAGCGGGAGCTGCCGGGGCCGCCCGGGGCGACATTCCTCTTTGGGATCCTGACCACTTTCCAGACTTTCAGATCCTATAAATCCCAGCCCTGTCTTGAAAAGCGGAACCGGAGGCTTTGGGGTGGAGGAGGAGAGAAATGCTGAAGCCAGAGCCTTTGTCAAACAAACCCATAAACTACAGAGTACGCGGGCCAAGCGCACGCAGCGGGAGCCAAGACCGGGGGAACAACAGCTCCAATTTATTTAGATTATAATGCAGCGAGGGAAGGCTTGTTTACGACAGAAGGAAAATATGCCTAAGTCAGTCGATCGCAGGCTCTGGCTGCCTCTAATTGAAAAGAGAGGCTTGTGCTCGGTGGAAATTGCCACCGTTGTTCCCAGAGTTTGTATTTCCCCACCACGCAGGGCACAGCCTCTCCTCGGAGCGGCGCGCACCAACAGCCAAGGCGCACGACAGGCGAGGGGGGACGACAGGCGAGCGGAGAACCGGCTGCCCTTGGCAGATGGGGTGCCCGGCGGAAGGAGAGTCACAACCAGGCCTCGCCGCGCTCGGTAGCTCCTCATTATCTGCATTACCTTCATTTTGAAGACGCACCTCACCTGCAGGGCTTCACTAACGCCCTGGCGGGCAGACTCCCGTGATCCCCGCTTCCCTGGCTGCCAAACTTCCAATGAGACGGGAAAGAACAACCCCAGACGGGTAAAACCGAACCCGGTTCGGTTCCAGGAGTCAACACGGAGCTTTCACGGGGAAACGTTTAAATCCCTTTGCTCCGAGCGCCCAAAGCCGAGGCAAGGCCGTGCCAACCTCCCCTCCACACCCGCGAACGGCACGTCCCCGGATCCCTCGCACGCGCGCGACCCTCGATGCGCCTCTGCTGGGAGGGCAGCAGGGCTGGAAAATAACCGAACAAAACAAAGAATAAATGGCAGCGAGGAACTTGGTGCGCTAAAGCTGCTGCTGCCACGTCTGTTCCCATGGGCCAATTGTTTAAAGACGCGGAGACTGAAAACGAAGACTGCAAAAACGCGGCAGGAGTCCGATGCGGCTACGCTCCAGCTGTGCAAAATGCCACGGCGGCGTTTGCCCGACCGCGGGCTTCGTGTGCTGCAGCTCCCCGGCTCCTCATTCCTGTGCGCAGCACAGCCTCGGTGCCGAAGGCACCAATTTTTCCTCTCACGCCCATCTAAAATACCTTCAAGGCCACAACTTTGGCTTTAGTAAGGCAGAATCGCGCCCGTCGCAGCGCTAAAGCAGCGTGCGAGCGTACAGACGCGCTCTGTAGGCTTCTCCTCCCTCTTGAGCTGAGCAGGGAATAGGAAACGGTCATCTACTTCCAAAGATGCCGATGTGTTCTTTTTTTATTTCTTCACAAACTTTGATCAAATTGTGCAAGTCCGGCAGCTTTTCAGTCCCACTGCGAGCTTCTTCTGGCCTGACGAGATGAAGGCGAGTTCGCGTGGTTTGCATACGCCACGCGCAGAGTCCCGCTTCCCAGCGCTTCCGAGGTGAGGGTAAAGTCCCCCGGGAAACGCGCAGAATCGCCCCGCGTCCTCACTGGGGCTCCCTGAACGTCAGGATGAGTTCCCGTTGCTCTTTACTAATCGCCTGGAAGGAAAAACAACCACCGCTGAACTCGGCAAAGTGCTTTTCTCCGCAGACGCCAGCGTTCAGGACGTAAAGCAGGCTGACGGGAAACACAGCGGGATGCAGGGAACGCAACGCACCGATCCCCCAGGCTCACCCGCGGGAACATCCCACCCAGCGCACAGGGAAAAACACCCGCGACCTCCTGCGGAAACGCCCCGGCCTCCCAGGCCCGTCTCAGCAATACTTGGCTCCTGGCGAGGCCGTCGATAAGTGGAGGGCTTAAATATAGCGCAGCCGTTTGCTCGTCAAGCCACAGAACAGCGTTTCTTTCCGGCTGATGCTGCAAGGAGAATGGGTTTTTATTTGTTGATTTTTTTATTTTTACCTGCCAGGCGTGTTTGCGAGCTTCTATCAGCTGCTGCAGCTCTGCAATCCTGTCCCTCCCCGCAAGCACGGACTCCGCTACCTTCCTGTTCTCTTCCTCCTTCTCCTTTAGGACTTTCCGCAGGTAGGACCTGTGCTTAAGGAGGTACGGCACCATCGCGCTGCGAACGTCCTCTTCCGGGATCCCGCTGGGACGCCTGGGAACAACTGGGAGGTGAAGCAACCAGAGAGCAACCGTCTGGCGCAGCAATTAGTCTCGCGCGCCTCAATTCGCTGCCGTAACGTATCGGCTCCCCCCCCCCCCCCCCCCCCCCCGTGCCTCCACCAGGTGTGCGGGATCGTGCAGACCATCCATGGGCTGCTGGCAGGTGTCAGCCAGACCCCGCTCTCCGACATCCTGAGGAGGACATTAGTCCCGCCCGCCTCAATTCGCTGCCGTAACGTATCGGCTCGCCGGCTCCAGCACCGACTCCGGCACTGGATGCTTGAGGACAGCTAGAACGTGCGTGGCGAACGGCCACCCCGCCGCGTAAGCCCCCTCACGTGAAGGAACGGGAGGAATCCTTCCCAAAACTCTGCCGTTCGTTGAGGCCTGGGGGCAGGCAGGCTGTAATGAACTTCCCCAAAGACAGAAACAAGAAATGGCGACGATGCTTTTGATTAAAAGACCCAGGCTGCCTTCAGGGCGAACAAAAGGCGGCGCGTACAACCCCCAGTGCCCGCTGAGTCCCTGAGCGAGGCATCCCAGCAAGAAGCGTCGATGGGGGCTCTGCTATCAGAACAGCGGCTGTGGCTAAAACATGCCATCAGCCTTGCGAATTATTCAGAACTGAGTTTCCCTCCCCTCTGGTCTCAGCGGCGCTAACCTCCTCCTTGCACGGAGGAAGCACAGACACGTGACCCAGAGAAGCACAGATAAACCTGATTTTTGGATGTTTTAGACGCGACGACGTTGCTGTTAAGGTACGCGAGGCTTAAAAAATTCCCTTGCAGCACAAGGCCTACAGGGGACATCTCCGTGACCAAAACATCACACGGGCACTGGCTTTCGCCCTTGCAGGAACACGCGCCCCCACACACGCGCTCCCCAGCCTGCCTCCCGCAGAGCTATCCGTACCACGTAGGCTCTTCCTGGTCCTTTGCCTCCTCCACGATCTTATCCAGCGAATTGAAGAGCACCTCCAGATTCCCTTCATCCTTTACCTCCTGGATCTCCTCCTGCGAAGGAAGGACACCGCCGGGATTCAGCAGGCCCCACTTGGGGCCACGGTTTAGTGGTGGGCTTGGCAGTGCTGGGTTAACGGCTGGACTTGATATTAAGGGTCTTTTCCAATCTAAATGGTTCTGTGATTCTACAGCTCTTTCTGGGGAATCCCAGAATGGTTGGGGTTGGAAGGGACCTTAAAGATCATCTGGTTCCAGCCCCCTGCCACGGGCAGGGACAGCTTCCACCGGACCGGGCTGCTCCAAGCCCCATCCAGCCTGGCCTTGAGTATTTCCAGGGATGGGGCGCACACAGCTTCTCTGGGCGGCCTGCTCCAGTGCCTCAGCACCCTCAGAGTGAAGAATTTCCTCCTTTGATCTAATCTAAATCGCCCCTCTTTCAGTTTAAAGCCATTCCCCCCTATCCTATCACTGCGTGCCCTCGTCAAAAGCCCCTCTCCAGCTTTCCTGCAGGCCCCTTCAGGCACTAAAGGCTGCCCTAAGGTCTCCCCGGAGCCTTCTCTTCCCCAGGCTGGACAACCCCGAGCCTGCCCTCCCGGGAGAGGTGCTCCAGCCCCCTGACCGTCTTCGTGGCCTCCTCTGGAATCGCTCCAACAGTTCCACGTCCTTCTTATGTTGGGAAGAGAAGACAAAGAGGTCTGGAAGAACCGCTGGGGAGCAGCCTGAACTTTCTGGTTTTGCCGTTCAAGGAACGTATTTGCTACCCTTAATACCGACGCGTTCAGCGCTTTTACACCGAGGGCTCGAAGCCTCTGAGGGCGCGCGCACCCCCGAGCCCCTGCGGGCCCGCTTCCCCTGTCACCTTGATGGACGTCTGCAGCTGGGATATAAACTGATCGTAAATGCTCCTGGTCATCTCGGGCTGTAGTTTGTAGAAGCAGCGGTAGCAGTTCGCAAACCTCTGGTAACTGCAAAACCGGAGGGGCAGGGAGTCACTGACAGGGCCGGGGCCTCCTGGCGGCAGGGGCCCCCCTGGCGGGGCCCCCCGCCCCCCCCCCC